TGGGTTTATTTGATCACTTATCAATATACCCAAGGGTATTTTATTGGTGTATTTCATCAGGAAAACAGGACTTACATGTAGATTTATACCAGGTTGGCTAATATGTTAACTATAACAAGGTTTTATAACTAGTAATAAAGTATATATGATACTGTTAGACTGTCACTTTGTCTCGGAGGTCTTCTGCCCACAAAATAAATGGAAGCAGCTTCAACAATTTGTGTTTACATTTTTTTTGTTCATCAAAAGCAACTTGAAATAAGATTATTTACCTAGAAATAACAATAATAAGGGGGTACCTATAATGATCAGTAACGTGAGTTTCTCAGGGAGTCAAACAGTTGTAATCGGCTCCAAAAACAAATAGGCTGATACAGTCCTGAAATACACCAACAAAAGAAGGGGGGAACTAATTTAGAAGTGGTGAAAAATGGACTGTGTTTTCCCATTGTGTACAGTAGATGGCAGCAGGGAGACATGACAAAGGCCTGCTCAGAAACGATGTCAAATGCATTAACTGCTGAAAGAGTTATGTGATAAGCTCTGTCCATATGTGTCATTTATTTTCTTTTGCCAACATACATTATTCAATCATTGCAACTGCAGAACCAGAGAAGAATTGGGGGAAATCCAAAATAGAGCTTTTAATTATTAAATGCATTTCACATTAAAATCACTGCATGAGTTTGATAATCACATGATAAAGGGGATTTTATTTGTATTATAGTTCAGGGTCGAATAGGTTTATCATTGATGAATAAGTCACTTTGAGGGATAAAATAACATATTATTTCTTATTTATTTCAACATTTAATCCTTAAAATGTTGCTTTTGCTCTGCTCTTACATTAATTATGAAATCCTATTTTCAATACTCATTAAAATAACCTTTCCCTAATCTCTCAAATGAAAGAAAATCTGAAACCTGACATTGTGAAATTTTCATCATGTTAGGAGTGATGAATAATTCATTAAAGATTGGTTTTATAAGCAGTTTTTCAAGGCGCGACTTTACAGGATGGAATTTGTCAAACAAAATAAAATGGTGTTACGTTCTTGCACAAAAATCATATTGATGTTGATGATGCTATAATGTTGCAAGTTTGTGCATATTTCAATAAGGCGAGTCCGGTAATATAATCATTAAGAATCAGCTACTTCTATCCGTGGAAAAACAAAGCAACAGAGCTCCTACAATGTACGGTAGTTCAGCTAGTGAGAGTCTTAATGAGGCCCTATTATGCTTTTTCCTTTCCTGTAGTGTGTTATAGGTTTATGCAAATGGCTGCAAATACTAACAAGAGCTGTTTTCTAGTCATTGTGCATCAAACCTCTGAGAACTAAAGGTTAATGAACATTTAAAGGATTTATGAGGCTGCATGTGGGAATACTTTGCAGCCCTCCACCCTCCACTGACACAGAACAAACCCCACACCCACTCACACAGCAGAGACGTTTCACCCAGTTTCATCATATATTCGGGCCCTTTAACAAAAAGTGGAGTTATTCATCCTGAAAAGTGAGCTGCTGGAAAACAACCTATAAGTGAGGTGTCACTTACAATCAATGAAATAATTCAGTGCAGATCAGGATGTGGATACTGGCAGGTCATTCTGTCAGCTTGTGTTATTCTTTCATTAGTTTTCCATTCACACATATTCCCAGCATGCACCAGGGGCAAGGAAGGTTCATCACAGAGCGAACACATTACTCACAAACATCTTTCAACCTGCACTGTGTGTCTCTGAAGTGCAGAGGTGTTCTAGGATATTCTTTTCCTGTTAGTATCACTGGCTGTATAAAATACACAATTGATGGTGATAATGATTGCAAACACATGTACATTTAAGACTGTGTGATGTAAATGCATAGGAAATGATGTGGTCGTATCATGTGATTCTGTTGCAATAAAAGTATCAAACTAGAAATTCTCTGTTCTAAATAAAAGTAATGCATTCAAAACTTAATTAAAGTACACAAGTATGCAGAATGGACCATTTCAGAATAACACATTACATAGGTCCTTCTAGGATTAATATATTATAATACAGCTTTATTTGTGGAGTACTCAGCTCAAAGTGCTTTAACAGCAGGCCACACAACACAAATCAGAGAACAAGACATGTATTTCCGTTAAAACCTTTTGCACACATGCAGCATAAAATGTAACAATCCAAAAAAACGGTATGTATATAAAAATTACAATACAATAAATAATGATCCAAAAGTGATACATTATAACAAGTGATGGATTAATGTGTTACCTTGAGGGTAGTTGCCTTAATTCACACTAAAGATTGCTTAATATTTTAAGTGCAAATAGGGTATTATTTCTCAAATACAGGTATTATATGATCAGTAGACATTCCCTGATACAACAAACAAAAGAGTTGCCTCTGCAGCAGCAGCACATGTAGCACAGTGTAACACTCTGTTGGTCAGGTATTGTTGTTCCTCAATTAGTCATCATTCTTTGACAATTTTCAACATATAATTATGTGAGCAAACCAGGCACTCTTTGAGATTCATTGTTTGGTTTTACCCCTTCCAGTCTACCTTCACAACACAGCAGACAGAGGGCACTGGGCTCCTATTTTAAATAGTGACTTCTTTCTTATGAAGTCAATCAACCAAAGTCAAAATGAACTAGAGGTTGAACACATAAGTATTTTCTCTACCGTAACATGGATTACTACTTTGCCTGGACATTTAAATCCCTTATATCAATAAATAATGTAAGATGACATGTTCTTTAAACAAGTCATTGGGGTATTCCTCAATTAAACTACATGTGTTAAGCGGTCGGATTAAATGAATAAAAAGGAACTATGGAAGATATCATCATACAATACTGATTATTTTGGAGACTCTATGCTACGCTATATTCTTCCCAGCTTCTATTTTGACATAACAGGGTTTATTTCAGGACATCTTTATTTAATTCAAACGTTTTTTATTTTGGAAATGGTCATTTTATTTCATAATGACTCACAAAGTCATGGGCTGTCAATAAGACTAATAGAGTCATTTATGTGTTTGCCACAACCCGGTGGCTTTGACATTTTTATTTGATTATACAACAATTGCATGATTATGTTACACATTTTGTATGTCATTTTTCATGTCAATATTTGTTCCATGATGCCTGATTTGTTTATTTATTCATTAAATAATTATCACAAGAGTTATCTTAATCACTAATGCGTGCATTCCTTGTTATTTATGCATTTATTTCTCCCTTTTTTCCTGCTGGGTCTGATATTTCTGTATTATTTTTTCATTTTGATGTTTTGAGTGAGAGGATTTGATTAAGCCCCACAGGCTTCTCAACCGGAGATGGGATTTCCTATCCTCGTCTGCCTTGATTTCAAATTGTTGTGAAAATATGTAACACAATGTTATAACAGCAGAGTTTCATTTACAGTAATGTATGATCTCAGGAGTACAGGCGGACACAATACAAGAAGTTCTTATTCAAAGACCTGAATAATTACCTGCTGCTTAGCTAACTTGAATTTGGGGGCAGTCGCATAACACGCTTAAAGGAGCCCTATAATGCAAATTTTAAGGTTCTTATTTGCCAGCCAGCATACACTATCATCTTATAAAGTTGAAATGGAGAGGGGTGGAGGAAATCATAAAGAGCTGTTTCTGTTCCTTTTTTAGATTGGCCGAGCTGTCAAACAAACACCACATCCAGCACACATTGTGTGTACGTAGCCGTTCAGTTGGCACATTGGCTGTTTGGGGTAAATAAATGTAGTCTTCCAAAACACTGGATTGGTAGTTTGTGTGCAACCTGAACACATATTTTAAAGGAATTGGGCTGGCAAGACAACGGGTGTGTGCTCCATTTAGACATGAAGCTGGCATAGCAGCAAGTGAACCCACTTAAATGGAGCGCAAGTGCACAGTGTATAAGGCAGCTGCAGGTATAACGTTGTATACATCTGTTAATCAAATGGCCACAGGTAGGGATGATGGTAAATCTTTGTTTAATGCAGCCTTTCGGTGTTGGCAGAGGCAACACGGCATATTTTCCATTTGGATTCAGCCACCGAGCTTGTGAATTATGTGTTTGTTTGTCTGCAGTGTTCTGTGAAGCTGTTGGTACATGAGACATTTTGTTTACTTGTCGCTCACAAGCTGCATGTGCTGTTAGTTTTGCTGGAATTAAATTGAGTACAACATGTCAAACAGCCGATGGCGCTGTGCTATGCATGCAGGTTAGAAGAAGAAGAAGACATACTTTATTAATCCCTTACAGGAAAATGTATTTCGTTATGCAACGAAGTACATTTTGAAATAGTGTCATTGGCATGGATGTTATTGCACAACTGACATTAGTGCAACCCTGTGTTGTAAGATGACACATATTTGAAATCTCTAACTTGATACCATCAAATAAAAACTTGCGTTTTAACTTTTTGGGAAAATATTTAGAGAAATGTTGGACAGGTTATTGTTGGAAAGTTTCATTTCTATCACAATGTAACATATGTATTAAATACAATTGAGGTATTATAATTACAGCCATTGTCAGCATCAGGTAGATTATATAATGATTATCCTGCTGGGAGAGGCTTGCTGTGATCTAGAACTACCCACAGAGAGTGAGAGAGAGAGCGAGAGTGTGTGTTTGTGTGCGTGTGCATGTTTGTGTGTGTCTGTGCGTGCGAAAAAGACAGAGAGAAGGTGCACACTTGTAGCCTACATACCTTTGTGAGAAAAATTCAGTTTTAGACCATCTGATCTGACATGCACTACACGAAGAAATGAATGATATCATACTTTAATTTGATTATAATCAAATCACATTCATTAATATACAATTAGAATATTGGTTCTATTTAGAGTGAGGGGGCTTGAGAAGAATTAGAATGTATGTGTGTTTGAGAACGAGAGAAGACAGGGATATACTGATCGATAGACAGAGACAGAGAGAGAGAGAGAGAGAGAGAGAGAGAGAGAGAGAGTGTGTGTGTGTGTGTGTGTGTGTGTGAGGTGGATTCCCATCACAAACCAAGATGGCGGCGGAGCGGACAGCCGGCTCGCGCACTGAATGACTGACAGACCAGAAGCCTCGCGCGGTCGGACAGCTAACGGTTAATCTCTGAGACAGAAACATTGACTATAAACATAACCCGTACAGGTCACGTCATCTTTTTTGAGTACCGACGGTGCAGTGATGAAACAGCGCCGGTAGACGACACCGGGGTGTGTGAGAGGACTACATTGCCGTCCATAAGAAGCGGGGTAAGTAACGTAGAGATGATGAACCGTTAGTGTGTGGCCGGGGAGGGATTTACCAACAGCTGCTAGTTACTACTAGCTAGAAATCCCTCATGCTAGTTGTGCCAGTTTATGTTGCGTATTTGTTTACATTGGTTTCATGTTTTTTCTGTCACTTTTTTACAATTCTGCACTCATTGCGTTTGACCCCATGCTTGTTACCCCGGTGATTCATTCACGAAGTAGTGTATATGCTACAGGTTGTTTGCAAATTAAATCAAATTGCTCCATATTCACCTGTGCTGCGTGTCGTCACCTATGGTCGTCACACCAAATTAAACGTGCGTTCGTCTTGTGATTTATGTATGTTTTACCCGGTAGCGTGTGGGGTCATTAAGTACTAAATATAACCCAAAACACTAGCTACCCTCTGCGTGTACACCCTGCTTGGCTGAGGATATTTTGGGTCGTGCATTTTGCAATTCTGTCTGGGAAAATGCATCGCTCTGGCTTTACCCATTGGCACACAATGTACAAGAATATTTTATGTCATGATTTGTGAAGGATATAAAGTCAGTTTTAAGTATTCTGATAACATAAATCAGATTTGCCTCAAGGAGCTGTACATGATAGGACACTCTATGTCCTTAAACCTTAGATTCAGATGAGGCAGATCTTCCCTCTTATAACCTTGTTAACTGGAAAAAATGGAAGCAACCTAGGAAAGAGCAACAGAGGAGGGATCCCTCTCCCCGAACAGACATGCAATACATCATAATAACCAACATAATAACATATAGTGTAGAGAATTAGGATGTGAACAAAATGATGGATTGATTGTAAATATAAACGAAGAAGGTCGTACTAAAGCTGTCAGTTGTCTCAGAAGGTATTTTTGTCAATCATTACTTGTTTAATCATTTATAAAGCAAAAGGCAGATAAATCATCACGAGGCTAAAGAGTGGTGGGTGTGTGCTTATGCAGCTTTTCAAATATGTGTAAGTTTGGGGAATGTGTTCACTTGTGTTTTGGTGCATCAGTGCTAATATGACTGTCCGAGAAATCTGAGCAAACTAAGCTGCAGAAAGGGAAATCTGCTTGGGGTTAGTTCACTGTTTTCTGATTAGACGGAAGAATTTGGTCAGGATTCACATTCTGGAAAAATTCCCCTTGCATCGTTTAGTGGTGTCGCACTGGACAGTCAAGTCTGTTCGAATCCAAAATTTGACAGAAATACTCTCAAGCCTGTCATTTGCAAACCTCAGCGTCACATACCAGAAAGGTAACCTACACTGTAATCCTGTAAAACCCTCAGCCCTTTTTTTGTGGGCTTTTTACTTTCAAGAGTGTCTTCACATTTCACGAATTTCTTATGGAGAGATCTTGTTGGTGTGCACATGATGGACAGGATGTTTGTGTTCTGTCTGTTTTTTTTTCTACACGGAGGGCAAATGAGGCGCCTTATTGGAATGCCAGGGAGGAAAAAGAGTCATCATACTTGAAATTAAGTATTGCACGACGAGAGCCAATTGGCATGGATTGCGTAGGTTGTTTGACTGGGCTGTGGGGAGTCTCGTGCAGGTCCATCCCAGAAGAGGATTTACGGCTGTGAGTAAAAAGATGAGAGCAGCAGACAGTTAGACGGCGTCTGCTGTGCTGATTGATGAGTTCAGGTGCGCTCAGTAACCTGGTTCCTCTTATCCTGACCCCAGCCTCAGGGTTAATGCCTGCTCTCGTCCTGTAACAAACACCAAATGTCCCCTCCTCCGCAGTGATGGTGCTAAAACCTAAAGGCACACAGGGTAAGTGTTATTTCCCTCTTGCATATTCATTCACACCAACAAAGAGGCACATTGGGTCTGATTCAATTGAGTGGAACACATATCATCTGTGATTGTACTGCATGGTTAGGCATGGCTCTACTCGACTTGACTTGGTTTTCCATTTATTTTAGTAACATGTTGGCATCATCACCTTAGCAAGCTAAGCTGATGATGCAGACCAATGTACTTTTTTAAATATCAAACTTTCATCAATTGCGTTCACGTTTTGTTGAATACACATAACCATCCGCAGTTGAATTTTAAATGTATTCTCACAACTGCAGATAGTAAAAGATTTAGTGACTGCACGGAAGAGCAACAGCAAGAAATGTTGCTGCCAAAAATGAGTGACAGTCCAGCTTTTGCCACTCCGGTCCATTTCCTGCCCCTCTCACTGTTAATATTGTTCTCTCGCTCTCTGATGCTTTCTTCATGATTGTTGGCAGATGCTACATAGCAGGCCTGGAAGATTCTTGCTCTTTTTTTTGAGGAATGCATATCATGCATGCATTTCACTGAAACATTTTCTCAACAGTGTTTAAATGTGGCCAATATAGTCCACTCCAAAGGGCACATCACTAGCAGTGTTTTACGTTGTATTTTTCCTTTGAGGAGATTAATAATGAATAAACATATAAACAGTTTTTTCTGCAAGGATTTGTCAACACTGAAATATTTATACTGAGATGATCAAACCCACCACTCAAATCATGTAACAGGTTTACAGAGAAGATTGCTAGAATACAACAAAACGTATATATTCAAATAAAAAGGTAGGAAAAAAATACACAAAATCAAGAAATGTATCATGTTTTTTTGGTTTTGAATGGACTCAATGTGAAGTAAGTTTAGTTGGAACAATGGATAAAATATAGAAAGGGGTAGACATGATATTTGAGTATCAAGACTTGTTGGAAGCATGACTAATGTTTTAGTAATTTGAAAAGTCCTTGATAAAAGCAGAACATTGTGTGAAGGTCGCCTCACAGCGTTGTCACCGTTTTTAGCCAAAAGGAGAGCTTGCACTTGGAAAGAAAGGCTGATTCGGATTTGCTTGCAGAGCAACTGAGATTCCACGTTCCCGGGGAATACCATCCACAAACACTAATTAGCTGCACAGCATTGTCTGCAGGGAGAAAGGTAGGATGTATCCTCAGCTGGTGGGTGGCATCTGTTTTAGGCAAGATGAATTTGGGAGTCGATCTCATCGCTAAAGTGAAATTCCTAGCTCCTAGCAAAGTCATCTGTCAGAACACAGAACACATCTCGCTCAGGCTGTTGGGGCTTTTTCTCTAGCAGTCTGCAGTGTGTGTGTGAATCGAGTAAATAAAGTTATGTGGAACAGTTAGGTTTAAGTGACACATTTTAGAGGAAGGCAGATGCTACGACTGAAGGGGTTGATACTAGGGAAATTGGACGTATAACTCCACTGTCACGACTCTTTCAGAATAAGAAAGTATGAAGCATTTAAAGAGGGTATACTATGCTAATGTTCAGGGGTTAGTGGGAGAACTTTGGGATTTTAGCCTTTGCAGTCTTTTACATGCCTAAAAACCTATAGAACATACTGAAGGAAAGGAAAACCCCCAAAAAGCATAAGAGGTCCTCCTTGAGCAAGGACATTGGCAAAAAAAGAACAAGCTGTGTGTGTTGGGTTCACAGGAGTAAAACCTGATTCCCCTCCTCTTCCATTTCTTCTCCTCATTCAGAAAGAAAAGGCTCCTATCTTCACAGACTAAAGACACCACTTAACCCAAACTGCCAGACTCTTAAGTTTGCAAATACAAAATAAATCATAATGGAAAGCAAACGTGTGTGTTCATCCAAAACACCTCCCTTCTCGCTTAAAGGCAAAACGCCAGTCTTAAAAACAGTTTTCTGACAACTAGGGAGTTAAAAGATCAGGAGCAGAGGCAGGTTGGACAGATCAGGTTTCACATGGCCTTAGTTCCCACAGGGCTCTGTGTTAGCGCTTCCCTTGCTAATACTGTACACAGTCAGGATGGGAACCTCTTGTATTGAGTTTGAGCCTGGGGATTGTGATCCCAGTATTTCCCGTGATATCTCTATACTGAAATACGACCTTGAAATGCATTTTCACCCGGCAGCTGTTTTTTTCAAAATGACTTTCTATTCTTACATGGTGGTTGCAAGAGTCACTGAAAAAATCAGGTATAATGAAAGATTAGCTGAAGGAGGCTCAATAAATGGCTCTGATATTAAAGGAGCAGCAGGTAGAACATCCTATACCAGGAAAAAAACAATTCTCCGGTACATTGGATCAGTGATTCTCAAACTTTTTTCAATAACGTACCCCCTTTGAAAAATAAATTCAGCCAAGTACCCCCTGATCAGCGCAAAAACGATTTGTTAGGGAGAAAATGCCTATATAAAGAGGTACAGTGCAGCGCTGCACCATCAGTGTCTGATTTATTAAAACAACAACCTTGTAACTGAGAAACACTTAAATGCTACATTTCAAATGTTTATAATCCATCACTAAATTCATGGCAAACTAATTTTAACATCATGCAATAACACTCAGACGACATTAGTTGCATTGAACTGATCTTTTTAATAAGTTGTACTTACAATTTAGTGAGAAACATGGTCTTGTGCTTCACTGAGGATCTTTGTCATTCTGACAGGGAGGCTAACTGCAGTTATTACACATCGCGTTTTGAAATATGTGTAACTCTAGTCTATTAATATAAAACCCACACTTCTCAAACTTCATTACTTTTCCTAAAATTGGTATATTTATCTTTTTATTTTTATTTTTTATTATTAACATAAAATAAATCTCACGTACCCCCTGCAGTACTCCAATGTACCCCTAGGGGTCCGCGTACCCCCATTTGAGAACCACTGCATCAGATCACTAAATTAATGGACCACAACCACACTTGAATGCAGTAAGAATTGCCCAGTCTGATTTCAATGAATGCAAATGGAGATGGAAAAAAATAGATTCGGGGCATTGAAAATCCCAGGAGGTTGACTACTGTCTGGATCTGGACGGATGAACCAATACAGATGTGTGTAAAAAATCTGTCGATATATATAGTAAAGCGATTATTAAACTTAAAACATTGTTATCAGCTTAAAAAATCCATGGAGATATACGAGTGCCCCAGCTTATTCATTCATAGCTTATAGTTTTTACTTTTCTTTTCCCTTGATGTAATAAGTGAGTGATA